GCTAACCCTAGAAGGTCCCCAAATATCGCTATGAATAACTGTGAATGGTTTTGAGCCCTTATAGGGTTGTGGAGGAAAGGAAGCCCGGTGATGTTTTATTAGGATCTGTTAATGACTTGGGAACTGGTTTGATTAGTGGGCTGGTAGTGTTAGTAGGAATTAGTATAAATAAAGGGCTTAGTAGCTCACTAGTGGCATGTTGTGATTTTCAGAGTTTTGAGAGATTGAGATTTGGGAGAGCGGTGGTCTCTCGAATGCCATCAAATTAGGAGTTCCTGAAGTACTCGAATTCTCTGTTTTATCCTTTATATTTCAGTGTAATTTGGTGTTCTTGGCTAATTGGATTAATAAAATCCCCTCCAATTATTCTCATTTTCTTGTTGTTTCTGGTGTGTGTGAGTGTGGAATTGGTGTTTGACTGATTTTCTGAGCTAGGTTCCTAACAATTTGGTATCAGAGCAGTTGATTCTCGGAAAAAAAAACAAAACAAAACAAAAAAGAGTAAATGGAATCAATGAAAGAGAAATTGGAATCAACGCTTCAAAGTGTGAAGCAGATCATTCGATTGTTAGAAGAGCAGGACCGCAAAGCTTGGGTGGTTGAAAGTGGGATAACACCGGCAAAAGATACGTGGTCGCAACCAGAAGAACAGCGCCAGCGAACGACGACGAACGCGTTGCGATCTGGTTGGAGTGAGTCGCGATTAGATCTGTGCACTGAACATCGGGTTCCGCGATCTGATTAGAATTACGAAGCAAGGGTTTCGAACTGCGGAACCATGATGGAGTTAGAGCGTCAACGTCAACGAACGACGCCAGATGGGGCGCAACCAGATCCAGAATCGCGCGAGGTCGAAGATCGGGAAAAATCTTGGCGATCTAGAGCTAGATCGTCTAGATCTAAAGTGAATGGCAGCAGATTCGTGACAGAATTGAGCGTTGCCAAGGCTGCGCTTCGCGATTTCGGTACGTCCGAGTCTTATTCCAGTTGGATTTGGAAGGGGTCTCGCGGTTCCGGTGCCGTTTTAACTCATTCGGGTGCTGTTTTGGTTGATTCTGACGAGTTTAAGGTAATGTCTTGGAATTCAGGCGTGTTCGGGGAAGATTATGCAGCGAATTGGACTGGGTCTCGTGATTCCGTCATGGTTAGGGCAGATTCCAGCCAGGTTAGGACTGGGTCACATGATTCCGGTGAGATTCAAGTGGATTCCGGCAAAGGCAAGATCGGATCTTCCAATTACGGCGTGTGCAGGGCCACTTTCGGCGTTGTGGCGGCTGGACGTCGCACTTCCAGCAAGATTGGGGTTAAGTTTGACGCCATTGGAGCTGGGTCTCGAAATTCCAGCGAAATTTGGGCCGGGTCCTCAAAATGTGAAAATTCGCGAAGTGATTTTGGGGTTGATCCTTGGGTTTTTCAATCTGATGTGGGCAAGGTGAATAGAGTTTCGCCATCTTGTTGGTTAGGAGAACCTATGGTTTTGAACAGGAGAAAGGGAAGGTGGCGTGACACGCTGTGGGAGAACCGATCGAATCGGCGTTTTCAGCAAATGGAGATGTCGCTGTTCACTGGAGAAAATGCTAAGGAGTGAGTCTCCTGAGCTGAACGTTATTTTCAATTGTATAGGTTGACAGAAAGAGAGAAAATATGGGCTGTGGAAGAGGCCATGGAGGGTGATGCTTTGGTTTGGAATCAATGGCAGGATGGTTGACGACTGTTCTGCAGTTGGGATGAATTGAAAGCTCATTTACTACAGTGTTTCCAATCAACGCAAGAAGAGACCATCTGTGGGAGTTTCGTGGCGAAAGAGCGAGCGAATACCAAGGCTGATTCTGAACGACAAATCGAGGTACTTGCTGCACCTTGGAAAGAGATATCAAATGCAGTTTTTGAGAGAGATTTCACTACCAAGTTGAAAGTCAATAAAGAGCATGAAATAGGAAATTCAAGTGGGTTGCTTCTGGCTCACACTAAAGCTGTTTTAGATCAGCAAATTGATGCTCAAAGAGAGTTTCCTTCAAAGAATCTCATCGGGAAGGTGAACCAAGGCGTTGCAAATGAAGATGACTTTCAAACCAATGCCAAGAATGAGGGGCTTCAAGGTGCGTGGAACAAGATCTCAATGACATCAAACTTTTCTAAGGATATTGCCTTAGAGTATGTGTTTGATGCACCAGTGAAAGAAGTTAAAGAAGGTGGAGGCCATTCTAGTATTTTAAAAGGTCTTATTGGTTCGGTTTTTAGCAATTGTGGGGGTGTTGACAAAGGAATGGAGAAAGTACACTTGCATCTTCCCTCCATTGTTGGTGTTTTGAAGAACAATGAGGCAAAATTCTTGGATACGGTGGAGTATAAATTGCAGCAAGATAAAGCTGGTGAGAGGAGGGTGATTAGTATACACGATTTGATTGGGATAACCAGCAAGCTCTTGCATTCTTATGTGGATAATTTTTTTGGATGAACTTCTAGGAATAGTTTATTTCACTGTGGTTCACAATTCAGGTTCCAAACAGAAGAGTGAACTTGGCAAAACATGGAAGTTATCAAGAAGATTTGAAGCAAGTTTTGTTTGTTTCATAGAGCTCACAAAGATCTCTGTTCTTTCCCATGTTGATGTACTATTGCAGTTTTATTTTCTAGTTTTTACCTTGAGGACAAGGTGAATGTTTAGGCGGGAGGTAATGTTAGGATCCGTTAATGACTTGAGAACTAGTTAGGTTAATGGGCTGGTAGTGTTAGTAGGAATTAGTATAAATAAAGAACTTAGTAGCTCACTAGGGGCATGTTGTGATTTTCAGAGTTTTGAGAGACTGAGATTTGGGAGAGCGGTGATCTCTCGAATACCACCAAATTAGGAGTTCCCAGAGTACTCGAATTCTCCGAGTTCGAATCCTGAAACTTATAAGAAGATGTGAAAAAGTGAATTTGATAGTTTAAGTCTCGAGTTAGTTTACTAACAGACAAGAGATTACATGACAAATTGAGAACATGAAGAACATTTTGAAGAGTGATGAATGGAGAGATTGCAATGGAACCTTTCCCAGCTATGACTGAAAGGGATTCATCCACTAGTTTAATTTTTTTATTTCCTGCACATGGACTATATGAAGAAAACAATTTTGATGATCTTGTCATGTGATCAGTTGCACCGGAATCTATGATCCATGAGCAATTTATATCGGAATCGACACTAACAAGGGCAGTGAGGTAGTTACCTTTATGGGCTAGAGAGCATGATGGATTTAAGGAATTTACAGAGAATTGTGAGGATTGGATGATTTTCAACAAGTGGTCTATCTGTTTCTTTGTGAATGGAGAGCTTTCTGTTGAGACTTGCTGCCCTTGGTCATCATTTGAAACTTAGAATGTTCAACCACCCCCTTCATTCATTTTCTTCCAGTTCGGCGGCTTCCCATGTAATTTCCAACATGTTTCCCGTGTATGCCAAGGTTTCTTACAGTGATCACACCATGGCCTATCATTCTTCTTTGTGTTTCTCATGTCTCCATCCAAGTCAGCCCCCCGAGAAACCAAGGCAGAGGTTTTGGCCTCTGTTACTCCTCTTGCTTCTTCTTTCTTCATCATCACACTCCTTCGCTTTTCTTCCCTTCTCACTTCAGAGAACACCTCTCGGATGGATGGAAGCGGTTTCCTTCCTAGAATCCAACCTCTCACCTCATCTAATTCCCTATTGAGTCCGGCAAAAAGACAAAAACACTCTGTCATTCTCCACCCTCTTCATACAGCGCACACTATCATTGGTGCAGTCCCATTCTTCCTCGTAGCATAAGTCCAATTCCTACCAAAGGTTCATCTCGTTGTAATAAACCGTGACCTCTCTATCCCCTTGTCTTGCCTGCCATAGTCTTGATTTTATCTCAAATATTTGAGATGAATTTTCTAAGTTGGAATAGGTCTCTCGTATGGCATCTCAACTGCTTTGGCGGTTGGAAGGAATAAGAATGGCTTTCCAATCGAGTAATCCATGGAATTGATAAGCCATGCAGTAACCATAGCGTTTTCGGATCTCCATGTCTTCAACTTTGGGTCGTTCTCCCCTGGTTTCTTTGCCTCGCCTGTCAGGAACCCTAACTTTCCTTTTCCATCAATTACAAGCTTCACAGTTTAAGCCCAAGACAGGTAATTCTTCCCATTTAATTTGTGTGCCGTCAATTGCAACATATTTGATGGGAGATTCATGAGGGAAACGCCATCATCATTGCTTTGGACTATGGCTGAATTGTCTTGGGAACACTCTGCGTCATCTCTCGTGGAAGAGGAACTTCTGTTGGCGCCAGCCATGGCAGTTTTTGCCATCGGAAGATTGGGTTAAGAGCCTAAGCTCTGATACCATGTAAGATTTTGGGGGAAATATTTAATCTTATTTATCTTCACATAACCGGAAAAATACAATAGTTATATAAAGAGATTGAGAAGCTAATCTTCTTCTAGATAAACTCTAAATCCTATCTTTAATAATCCTTATCCTATACTATAAAATTTAAACTCTAGAATTTAAATCTTATTGATAACGCATAAACTATAACTAAACCTATCTAATCCTATATTTCCGATACTCTCTTTAAAGACTGCACCGACATTAATCTTTATAGGCCCCGCGTCTTTCTTGAAAATTTGTTCGAGTTAGCCTCAAAGCTAACTTAACGACAAATGACTTAACTGATTTGTGTTTCCTCAAATGAACCTTTGAGAGAAATGATCATGCTATTTGTATCCGGATTTGAGTCGTCAAACACAACTTTATTTCTTGCCTACCATATTGCATACCAACAAGACCAAGTCTTATCTACGGCAAAATGAAATTTTTAAAGCATCAGGCGGGAGCAAAATACTCTGTATTAGCTCAAAGCCCGAATTAAGATGCATAATCGCATCTTATTGCCTTCCGACCTGCAAACCCAAGGGACCTAGCTAGAGAGCAATGAATAAAAAGATGCACTAAAGATTCATCTGAACTATGATACACAGGGAAGCATAAATCCAGAAACTGCAATCTGGTTTTCGGGTTCAATCTTTACTGGTGACACATCATTAGCAACACGCCGCAAAAGAAACTCAAACGGTCATGAATTGTCGCCTTTCAAAGCCAAGATCACATATCATTTTGCTGGCTCGTTTTTTATACTTGGAAGTTGGAATACCTAGAAGATTTCATTTATCAGTCAATAAAGTCTTTCCCGCTAGGGGATCCTCCCTCACATCAAACATTGTCCGAATTAAGGAATGAAGTGCCCAAGTACAAAGAACATTTACTGGGCTTTCCTACCCTCCATGAAATCTCATTCTTTTTCTTTTTCTTTCTTTTTTTTTTTTTTTGGTTGAATCAACAGAATGAAATATGCAACAAGTGTTTCCTTTAACTCTTCTATTTTTTGAAAATTTATATCTACAGCAGAAAACTTTTCGTTGGGTTGTCCTCAAAGTCAGAAGTCATGTGATCAGATAGAAATGAAAGAAAAAGAAACCGACACATAAGTTTACAAAAAAGCTCATCCATGCAAAACAAAATTTTGATGAGCTCACGAAACTGTATTCTGTACAAGGGACTTTAGCTTCTTTACCTCATTTAGTAGAGAAGAATTTTGTTCGCAACCTTCAGTTAAGACCTCAAGCCTTTTGTTTATATTGCTGTATAATTGCAAATCATCTTTCAAATTAGTCGTCTGAGATGATGCTTTCTCTTCATATTGAATTAGATTCAAAAGCATTGCCTGCAATTATAAGAGTTCGACATTAGAAATCTCCATCTCTGATATAACTTCCCAGGAACAATATGAAAATAGAAGGTAATTTGTCATACAATAGTTATAGAGTGATAAAGGTCATATCATGAGAATTTCAGATACCAAATTGACACTCCTTTGTCTGTATGACACCGTGACTTCTTTTCTATATCATCTATATGGATAGTATGATTTGACAGTTGACAGTTCAACCATTTCCGCACGAAAGAATAGATTTCATTCCGTGTAGGGAGTGCTTTAATTTGTTCAACTGTGGGCATCTTAACCGGTTCACTTCACCTCATGGTGTTATAGTTCAACCAATTCGTTAATATCAGTTTCATAGAATGTCTTCAAAAAGTATACATACCTCATGGTGTTGCTTCAGGGAGAAGTCTCTCAAAAGTGACCTCACAAGCTTGTTCCGTAGAAGCAGTTTATCACCAGTACTGGAATGAAAGATAAAATGTGAAAGGTGGTGGAGAACCAGCACATACGCAATTGATCCTCGACTTGCAGCCCTGTCGAGAGCACCAGAAGTCCAGGATTTCACATAGGCCTCTATAATCTCAGCATTATCCTGCAGAGTTGAGAAAAAAAATTATTTTATCAGTTCTGCATAATTTGTTCTTATTCAAACAATATTTCAGCAAGATTAATTCGTTGAAAGCAATAAATGTATAGATTTATGTGCAAAAGACAAAAGGAGGCGCAGCGTAAAACATTTCACAAATTAATTGTGTAGAGGTTAATTTTTATCTTCCGTACCTCTATAGGTTGAAGGTACCCTTCTGCTTCTCCGAAGCAAGACTCCAAGGGCGGGAGAAGCTCAAGAACACGAGCATTAGTCAGTGCCTTCCAAGCAGCAAGCCGAACAGGAGCTTCAACACATCAGTGTAAATAAACAGCAACTTGCCGGCCATATATTAAATCGCCATAAGATATAGCAGAAAACTGCTCCACAAGAGTTTCAATAAAAGTTGAGTAACTGTCATGAATGTCCGATTGAAACCTCAAGAACTCTAGATACTTTTCATTTCTGGGTTCCAAAGACAGGTTGACATTCTTCTCGCAAGTCATTTTGGCACTTGTATGCCTTTCCTTATCAAGAATATTACCATATAGATCTTGCAAAGCTTCATAAACATCCTTACTCTTCTCGTCCTCAATCACATCCATTCCAATTAGCAAGATCACAGATAAAGAATGCAGTTTCCAAACTAATGGAACGCTTTGAACAGGTGAAGGGACGTCACTTGGGAGGAAACTCGACATCGTTTGATACCTAAGAGGACAAAAAGACCACCTTTGGCAACTTCAAGCAGATCACCTGGGTCCTGCATAAGAGACTCTAAATTGGAACATTTTCGAAGACCAGCATGCTTGCTATTGCAAAGGGTCGAAATTGGACTCAGAAACCAATGAACAGGTAATGTAAATCTTTGGTGAGCCCACTCTATGACCAAGGATGTACTGTCTTGAACAATATCTGATGCGTCCCAGTCCTCATCCTCATGTATGGTATCCAAAGAACCATAAGTTTTCTCAAGTGTTTTATCTGCTTTTTTCAGCTTCCTTTTTACAGACAGCCATCTATTGCTGAAATGAGAAATTAATATCTTACTGAAGAGCAGGTAATCCTCTTCTTTATATTCCCAGCCAAGCAGCTTAATTCTCCCATTAAGACGAAGAAAATGCCGAATACAGAGATCAAGATACTTCAGAATAGAGACATCGACCAAAAGTTTAAATGCCTTGTCCACAATATTTCTCTCTCTAGGCCCGGCTATTAAAGTCAAGGCTAAGGAAGAATTAATAATTTGCACAACAGAAGATATTTCCTCGTCTCTGGGAACATCACTCATAGACAAAATCAGAAAAGACTCAAGCAAATCAACAGTTAGCCTTGAATCTGCTTGTGCCAACAAAACATCTGTTGACCAAAATCCTCCACCAGAGGCACCCCAGCCAACTCCTACCCCAGGAGCAGGCCCGCCTCTGCCGAATGTCTCAATAGACTGCACTAAATGCCAGTCTGAAGCAACCAACTTCATAAAAATATCTTGCACGCTTCTCAGTTCAACCAGAGACCCTTTCAATATCCCATCCTTGAGTATTTCCTCTTCTCTTGAAAGACTACAGTCTTGGGAATTCTTTACCTCTTTCTTGGTCAGCTGGATCAAGTTATCAATGGCAGAGATTGTCTGGAAAAATCCGTGAAGGCAACATACAGAAGCTAATGATATTTCTTGTTCGTTTTTCTGTCTCAAATAGCATAGTTTTTCAACGAAAGAACCATCTCCAACAAGACTTGTTCCAAAATTTGAACCAATGGTATCTGAGAAACTCAGAAACCTACTTTTGATAATTTCAAGTCCAACTTTGGGAACAAACTCTGGAAGCCAAGGGATATTGCCATCATTTTCCATCTGATTGATGGTATTATCTGGAATAATTCTTTTGAACACTTCTGCAAGCAAGCCCATTACAGCAGAATACACCCACAGCAATGAAGTCACATGAGAATCTTGTAAAACATTACCACTCTTAACCCCACTTTGCCAAAAATTACATGTGTGTAGATCACCCAATACAAGTATCCACTTCACAGCTAAATCAACCATTGGACTAACGTGACTCCAAGACCAGATCTCCATGTCATCGCCAACCTGTTCCTGGATTTGATTTCCTAGACTCATTTGTGAAAAGATGTTTGGAAGTCTTGTAGCCAAAGCCTGTAGAAGAAGGTATGTCTCCGCCGAGAGGGAAGCAAATTCACAAAGAACGCCCTTCTCTATAAGCTTTTCAAGTGTAGGTGGATTCAACCACAGGCACAAGGAAGGGAAAATATCCGAGAAACACGATACCGAATACCCATGCTGAATGCAAACCCTCCAAAAACGTAATTGTTCAACTATCAAAGCTGATGAAAGCTTGCAGCTCTCTTGACCAGATTCAACCCATTGGTCAACAGAGGCAGTGTTTTGACATAAATGCCACGTCATGATATGGTAAACCCCATTATTTATAAATTCAAGACAAGTCTTCTTATCAGATCGAGCCAACACCTTTGATATATATACAGAAACAATAAAAATCATATTAGCTATACAATATATAATTTGAACGAATAAAAAAGGGCTAGCAAAAGAACATATAGGAAGGAAAAAAAAAAAAAAAAACTCCTTACCTTTAAAAGAATAACAGATTTTATCTTAGAAGGATGAATTCCTATATTCTTGTTTGCTGTAAATCTGTCAACAACTGTCTCAATAAGCCTTTGGCATTTCATAATTGCATTTGCACATGTTGGGGAATGCCTTGCTATGGCAATGAGTATAGAAATCAAGCATTCTTCCAAAGCCGCTGTAAGGTCTGACTGAAACCATACAGATTAATACATTTAGTACTCTACAATTAGCACTGACTTTAGACTGTCTATGATATGGAGGAGTCGAAACATCAATTCACTGGAAATATTCTCACCTCAAGAAGATAGCGAAGCCTTGGAAGGATTCCCATTCTAACCAAACCTCCAGCAAAATCTTGTCCCGCAACCACGATATCATCATGTATTGTATTTTTCCCTTCGGTTTCATCATTGATAATATCGTCGTTAAGAGTAAGAACATTAGAAGACTTAGCATTGTACTTCCAGAATCCACCTCGTAGAAAACCAACATCAATCTCAGGTCTGCTACGGAATACAGGGGCAGTACAGATATCCTTGAGAGTAATTTTCTAGAAACGAATATGTCAAACATAAATTAAGCAAATGTAGATAAAGAAGGAAAAATAAACATATATATTCAAACAAGGAAAAAGAAGTACCTCTGAGAAATTGAAGAAGCTTTCATTCACATCACATGTTAATATGCACTGAATGACTTTGGCACAAGCTAGAACTACAGAATTATGATTGTCATCAAGACATATCCTACGAAACAATGAAATATTAGTTAAAATGCAAATAATAATAATAATAATAATAATAATAATAATAAACTAAAATAAAATAAAAATTAAAGTAATTTTTTTTTTTTTTTTGGAGAAAAAATCTATAGAAATGTTAAAGAGCGCGATAGGTACTTTGCTTACAAATGTAATTACAATTTATATCCCTAAAGATCATTGGATAAAGTTGCTGTTCTTTATGATCCACAATTTGATAAAAATTCCAGCAAAATGCGCATGATTAACTACTTTATCAGAAAACCATACATCCAGTTCGGCTAAAATTGCAGGACCTATGGCTCAAGCAAGTCTCAAGGGATAAGCTATTAAGGGAGATGACATGACCAAGTCATGGGAGGATATAAACAAATTAGCAGTGGAGACATTAAGAAGTTATTCACCTAAGCGATAAAACAAGCTCGGATTCAGGGCCAAGTGCATAAGCCCAAATAGCTTCCCAATCGGTAAATTTGTTATCTTTATCATCATTTCCAATGGAACACCCAACTTGACCTTGGAAAATATTGTGGACTGCCTTATCAAGAACAGCTAAAAGTATATGCAATGCAAGAGCACGTTGCCCTGGAATCTGAAACCAAAGGATAGACAGTCAAAAGTAAATAAGCAAAAGGATGATAACTGAAACCGGTCATAAAAGACTGTGAACAACAAACTGATCTACAAAAATCTTACAAAATGTAAGTCTAACTTCAGGAAAATCTTATAAAAACCAACCAATGCTACAAAATTAGAGCAATCAAGAACTAAAATGTAAACTGACCACACTTCGAGTTAGTGCCACTGCTTCTTTGATTGTGTAACCTGCTGCACCAGGATCTCCCTCAGTCCGCAGGAAGTCGCGTTCCGCAACACGCTCTGATGAACGAAATATATGACGGGAAGAGATACTCAAAACCGTGTTAAATGAAACAGACTGAATAGTGTTGGTTTCCGCGCAAAACCGTGGATAAATCAGAGATTACTCTGAACTTTCTTACTAAGCAAGACTCGGTTATCAAAGCTTCAGCATTATCTTGGAAATCCCATAACATTACTTATACGGAAATCAATTATATAAAATACATTTTACTGGAAGTCTGAAAGTACCACTCTAAACCCTAATGATAATCCAGATATAAATCCTTTAATAACAATCCAATACCAGAATGTGATCAATACCAACGATATAAACAAACTAACTAATTCAGGCTTACCGGTGTCTGCTACTTGGACAAGATCATTCTCAACAATAGTCCCGTCCAAGGAAAATCTTAGTCTTCTAACACCCTCGACTCTCTCGCTCCAAGTACTCCACAAACTGCCACTAGCTGGGCTTGGATTCCGTGCCTCACCATTGTCAAGTCCACTCTTCATTTCCTTTGAGGTCATTTTTGTCTCCGTATGAGTCACCTTACTCTTAGAGACAGACAAATCTTTCACGTCCTTTACATTCTCATTCCGTCCATTATCGCCTTCGGCATTGGCGATAACATCCGAGCTCAAGGATTTTTGCTTCTCCAATTTTTCTTGACCCCTCTTCTTAAGTAGCCTCAGCAATGCAGGGTCCATCTTCTCCATTATCTCAGCTTGTGCCTCTGCAAGCTCCTCAGCCGACATTCCCTGTAATCGCGCTCGATTTTCAGCGTCAATCTCACTCTCAAGCCACATGGTTTCTTGCTTGTGACCTGAATCAGTTCCGGGGGAAACCACAGTTGAAGCTGAATAGTTTGTCTCCCTTTTCTTTAATATCTCCAACAAATGGTCATTATTTGAGTAATCTAACTCCATCTTTGCAAAAGAACTAGCCTCACTATCTTCACTCTCACTCACGGTTTCAATTGGTTGTCTATCTTTCTCTCGTTTTTCAGTTTTTGCTGAGGAGCGTATCACATTTCCTTCCAATTTCTCAGCCATGGCTGACTTCTCACCAGCTACAAGCTCTCTCCAGTTGCTAAAATCCACGCCTTTCTTCTTCCTCCTCTCTACAGGATTAGCAAAAGGCGCTATTGGATCAACGTCCATGAAAGCTCTATCATCTTCGTCACTTAACCCACCATCCTCATCACGATCATCACCATAACCAGCACTCGCTTTACTACCAACTGGAGCCCAATGCTATAAAATCGAAACATACATATCAGTCGGAGAGAACTCAATATCCTAAAAAAAAATCCACTTTTCTTCACTTTCTCGGGAACCAAACAAGGTCAAATTCAATGGTAATCAAATCAACCGAGGGTCCCGAAGAAGAGGGAGGGGCTTACCGGGCCGTGAGAGCGATGGCGAGCGACGGGGAAAGGGAGAACGGTGGGATTAGGAGGTAAGTAGGGTTTGGTTGGTGGTTCATCTGAAATTCCTTTCTCCACAATACGACCGACCAAGTGGGAGGCTTCGTCTTCGCTTATCTGGAGGCCACTGGTTCCGAAGTTCATCTTCGTCTTCTGTGGCGAAGAAGTGTTAGGGTTTCGTTGAGCGGTTTGCTTCTTCTTCTTCTTCTCCATGTTCGCGGTGGTGGCGAGGAGAGACTTCTACTCTGCAACTTCGCCGAGTGTGGGTGGAATGTCTCTAGAAGGGAAAATTTTTAGTGGGGGAAAGAAATGCTTGATCGGCGCGGCTCGGATTTTTTGGGGGCCAAAAACGACATGTAAGATTAGAAACGACAAAGATGGGAAACGACAATTAAAATTAAAGAAAAGATTAGGATTATTTTTAAAAATACGCTCAAAGCATGAGCCTTGTTTCAATATGCTTCTAATTTTTCAAAACAGTTCAAAGTATCTCCCAATTTATAGAAAATATGTTAAAATATTTTCTCCGTCTAATTCCATCTACATTAATGTTTGAAAAATAATAAATATTAGAAACGTTAATAAATGAGTAATTAACATAAAAGAAAAAAGACCCTTAACCTCACCCAAGCATCGTCTCCTTCCACGGTTCCACCACCAAGTCCTCAAACCCACCAGTACCAAACCTTAATCCCCACCACTACCAACCATGCTTACTCCTTCTCTTGCCTCCAGTAGTCTCGCGATTCCATCCTCACCTCTAACCACGAGGACTACCGCAACCTCGTCCTCCCTCTCGAGTCGAGTCGCTCAATCTTAACCTTAAACTAGCTCCAAATTTTTGGTGAAGGAGAAGGGAAATAATACTTGGTGCTCAAGAGGGGAATAGGCCAAAACTAAGACCTGCACATAAAGGGAATGGGTGCTCAACAATGGATTTGGTGCTCGTGTGGCGGAGGCAAATCGACCTGCACATAATGGTGTTGATTAGGGATGGGTGTGGTTGGGCTCGGAGGCGAGTGGGACGTGAGGTGGGCGGCGGATGGCGGAGTTCGGAATGGAGTTGGGCAGCGTCGGAGAAAGCCTCGCGAAGGCGAGTCTCAACAGTGAGAATGGAGATGGTCGTTGGATTTTTTTTTTTTTTTTTTGGGATGTGGGAATCGGAGAATAGGTTTTCAATTTTTTTATTAATTATTTTTTTAAATCCAATTTTTATTTGCTTTTTTTATTTTTTATTATTTAATTATTTTTATAGATTTAATTAGAATTTAATAGCTTTAGTTAATTTTTAATAGCAGAACACATCAACGATCTGTTAAGGAATATACACGGAACAGGATGGAGGGGCGTTTTGAACTGTTTTTTTATATATAATAGGGTGTTTTAAACTTTTTTAAAAGTCAAGATAATTTAAAACATGTTACATATTTAAAGAGTATTTATGAAAATAATCTAAAAAATTAAAATTCCCCCTCACTAATTGCCTTGTAATTTTGTGCCTGTAACATATGTTTTCTTATAAAACGCAAACTCCACGAATATCTCTTTTTGTTAGCGTTTTAAACAAAAACTTATTGGCATTACTTCATGAGTATTTTAAATGATTTTATATAACTAGAGGGGAATTTGAGAAGTGCACGGGTTCGTTTAGTTCGTTGATTCAAGTTGAAACGTGATTTTATATGAGAGTTTTTTACAGTAGTAAAAGAGTTAAATGTAACTGTTTTTTAAAACTTTTTACTGTAGCAAAACTTAAATTTTAAACTCAAATCAGTAAAATGAATAAGGTTTATATTATATAATTTAGAATATATTCATGAAACTAAACCATAAAAACTTTATAAACCTTTGAAAGTATTCATAGCGTTTTACTCTCCATTATTTTAAAGGCAGTATCATGAAGTACTTTTTCAGACATAAAATGATAAAATTGACTTTTTTGTTATTATGAGAGATAGCTCTAAAATTATTTTAGTTTTTATTTCTTAGTTAAATTAATTTTAATTTAAAATTATTTTAGTTTTGATTTCTTAGTTAAATTAATTTTAATTTTTTTTTTGTAAATTTATTTTTTTGTATTTAATTATATTTTTAAAATAAATATATTTAAAAGTAAAACTAATACTTTACTTAAAGAGGGGTCAGATACTTGAGACTTGTTCGTGTTTGGAAGTGGTTTCAAAAACATTTTTTCCATTTTTTGAGAAAAGAAAATAAAAATGAGTAAAAAATAACGTTTAGAACGACTAAAGACAAAAAATAAAAAGGGGAATAAAGGGACTAATTTCTCTCAAGATGGGAGAGTTTCTGAAAACGACTTTAGTCATTTTCATTTTCTTGTTTTCATTTTCTCAAATCCCTCTTTCCTTCTAACCCTGAACCCAACCTCAGAGATTGCTTGCATTGAGCAGTCTCTCCCATCGAACTCCCTCTTTCCGTCGAGCTCCCTCAGATCATTCTCCCTCTTTCTTTGTTTGCCTTTCTTTTTCTTCCTCACTCTCTTTCAACTATCTCTCTTTCTCCCTCACTCTCTCACGTTCTCCTCCTATCTCTCTTTCTAATTCCCACGGTTTATGTCTCCCTTCTTCCTGAGAAACTTAAATCGAAGCTCAACCAGAGGGTTTCCACTCCATTTGTCATTAGTATTCCTAATTTTAGAAGGATTCAAGGAAATTTGAAGGTCTTTCTCAACATTTGTGGAATTTAAGGTAGGATTCACTTTCTTTGTTTCTGAATATCTCTTGCAGCCTCTTTGGATTTTTAGTTAGGGCTTGAAATTGATTTGACAATTGATTTGTGGAAGCTAAAGGTGTTGAAAGGTTTTTTTCGTCGACGAACCTTCGCGGCTCCTCCCCAAATCAACTGAGGTATTTCAATACTAGTGATTTGTCAATTTGGTTCACTCTGGAAGGTGTTTAGCTTGTTCTGTGGTGATTTGGTGTTTAGCTAACCGTTTCTGTTTCTGTTTTGTATATTTCTAGTCGTTGTGTTTGGTTCCCACAAAAAACAAAAATTGATAGTGTAACATTACATTATATTAATTAATAGTATAACTGATTTGGGATTATATTAATTATTTAATATATTATTTAAAATATTACATATTTTTAAAAATGTAAAACCAGACGGAGTTTTAATTTTTTCTTACAATGAAAATAAATAAAACTATCAAACGTATTTTTATAAATGATTTATGCCTGAGATTGAAAACGTTTCATTTCCTTTTTCATACAAAAAATAGAATTATTTTAAAACAGGTTACAAACGCGCTCATTATTTTCACAATTCGTCATAACTGAAATTTTATTACTATAGTATTTTCTTTACAAAAGTGGAGTACCTCAACGAAATTTTCAATGGAAGAAAAGTATCAAACTACAAAACCAAATAATATTTCCCCCAAACAAATAAAGAAATATATTATCAAAAAAATAAAGAAATAAGGGCCGTGTTTGTTTCTGTTTTTAAAAACGTTTTTCATGTTTTTTTAGGAGCAAAAAGGAAACATTGTGAAGATTGTCATTTGGTGACCTAGTTTCCCAAAACCAAAATTGAGAACACCCTTTTCATTTTCTCTTTTATCTCATGTTTTTGAAAATAATTTTTTTTTATTTTCATTTTTCTTGTTTTCATTTTCTCGGCCGGAGTTCATTTGAGTGCTCTCCGAAATCGCCCATTTCCTCTCCAAAATCACCCATTTCCTCTCCAAAATCGCCCATTTCCTCTTTGAAATCGCCAATCTCCCTCTCATATTCTCTCCACATTCAATGTTTTGAGTGCATCTCTTCTCACTCTCACGTTGAAGTCGCTTGTGTTGGGAATGATGTCCTAGAAGCATAAGATGTAATAGGATATTTGTTTTTTATTTAATAAAAGAGTTTATTCATTATTTTATGTACATATATTTATGAATATTTAATGAATATCAATAAAAATTTCATGGTTATTTATGTAACCTTAAACATTGTATATAAGTGTTATATACGAGAGGATAATGTTTAAGGATAATAATAAAAAAGCAATGTTCATAATGAATTTAATTAAAGTTCAGAATCTTTAATTAAAACATTATTAATACATGTCATTCCCATTTAGAATGGAACGGTGTTATCCGCACTGTTAATATGGTGAGATATTGAATGAGTGTATTTCGCGTAATGAGATTATATGGAACATGGACACAGACACAATATGAATTTCTAATAATTTCGTTAAGTATAGAAATTCTAATTGAGTCTACCGATGGTCATATATAGAATGATCTTAATCATGAGTTCTTAACAGACTCCTATTTATGAATTCGTGTCTTTTGATTTACTCGGTACGGATTTTGAGATTTTAAATCCTATTTCTTGTATTTTTGAGACATGATGAAGTAGGTAGCTGGGAATGTTATTACACGAGATGGAATCCATTCTTTCTTAAGAAAGAAGTAGATAAATAATTCTCTTGAGGGTTGATTCGGTACTTGGATCAGTAGGAGCTCCGATTCATGAATGTGTTTTATGAATCACTGTCCATTAGAGAATCAATGGTACTCAATGATAAATAAGTAATTAGAGAGGTTAACGGATTTTACATAGCTCTAATTATGAATTATTTATGGATGATTGATCTATATGCAATGACTATATCAAATGGACACTTCACAATTTAGAAGTAATTTATATCTATAATTTTGATAGTGCAATTTCAAGTTTATAGTGGAGTAACTATTGGAATTAATA